CTCTCTCTCTCCCTCTCTCTCTCCCTCTCTCTCTCTCTCTCCCTCTCTCTATATATACATATTGTACTCACCCCCCCCACACACACAGAAGAATAAATATGTTTATGGCTTTGTTTTGTTCACATCTTTCTATGGTTAAAATTTTGTTAGAATTGACACAGTTGCGGGGCTGGAGAGATGGCTCAGCTGTTAAGAGCATTAGCTGCTTTTGCAGATGACCCAGATTCAGTTCACAGCCCCCACATGGCAGCTAACAGCCGTCTGGAACTCCAGTTCCAGGGGATCCAACACCCTCTTCTGACCTCCACAGGCATTGCATGACATGAGTGCACTTACATACATGGAGGTAATTCACTCATACACATAAAGATAATAAAATATTTTTTAAAGCCTTTGAGGAGCTGTAGAGATGGCTCAGCAGTTAACAGCACTGGCTGTTTTTGCAGAAGACCCGGGTTCAAAGCCCAGCATCCACATGGCAGCTAACAACCATTCATAACTCCAGTTCTGGAGGATCTGACACCCTCTTCTGACCTCCTCAGGCTTTGCAGGACACAAGTGCACTTGCACACATGCAGGCAGTATATTCAGACACATAAAATAAAAACAAATAAATAAATATTTAAAAAATAAAAATAAAAGGCCTTTAAAAAAAGAATTGACACAATTATAATCAGTAAAAAAAAATAAGGTCTCTTTGAGCCTAGCTTCATAGAAAAGGTGAACTGGTCTTTTTCCTGCTTGTTGTTATGCTTGGTGTTTGTGGGTTTCTTTTTCTGTTTTGTTTTGTGTTTTGAGACTGGATCTTGCTCTGCAGCACAGGCTTGTCTAGAACTTACTGTGTAGCCCAGGGTATTTTCTTTAATTATGGAAAATCTTACACAGATATAAAATAGTGAGCCTGGTACCCCAGCAATCTTAGTGTGTCTCTTCCTCTGTTTCCTAACCCTGCCTTGGGTATTGAGAAGCAAATCATAGCAGTAATAGTCTTATTATTTGCAGTAAGTAACAATAATCCAGTAGTATCTCAAATATCTTGTCATAGGGCTGGAGCAATGGCTCAAGGATTAAGAGCACTTACTGCTCTTCCAGAGGACCTGGGTTCAGTTCCCAGCACTCATATTGCAGGTCACAACTATCTGTAACTCCAGTTCCAGGGGATCTGACACCCTCTTCTGTCCTCCACGAGCACCAGGTGTGCACATGGTCTACTTACACACAGGCAAAACACTCATACACGTAAAATGAAAATAAATAAAATCTTTTAAAAAATGTGTATTCAATATAAATTGACAGATGAGCAGTGGGCCCTGACACCTCCCTCCTGTCTTGTCCCTGCCTCTCTAGTCTCTGCCCTTTCTAGGCCTTTCTACCTCTCCACAGACCTGTCTCCTGAGCCCCACCCCCACCCCTGCTTTTTTCCACTTTGTGTCAGCTCTTTTCGTTTACAAATGAATATGGTCAGGTTTCCTGCAGCCTAGAAAAGAATGTCTTCTTGCAACCCAGGTGCAACCTTGGATCCCTTTCCTAGCTCATTGGTTTTATTTTTTATGCTGTTTCCATAACATACTCTGAATAATCCCTAAAACACTCCCAACATTCACCCATGCGTCTTCCCCTCGCAACTGCTTACTCTTTCCTCTACCTGTAGTGTTACTTCTGTCCCCATTCTGCCCCTAAACTGCCCTCAGTGACCCCCATGGAGCCCCAGATGACCAAATCCAATGACTCAGCCCAACCTCTTTGGGCTCCTGCCTGATGCAGCTAACATGGCTTTCCTACAGCCTGGACCCTGGGCCTTCAGCATTCCCAGCAGAGCACAGGCCCCTGCCCTTCCCTATTCTGTCATCTAGCCATCTAGTCACCTCCCTGAGCTGCACCTCAGCCTCTGAGAATTCCTCCAGAGGAGGCTCCGCCCTGTCTAAGCTGCACCCCAGGCTCTGTAGCATCCTTCTGTAGGCGGCCTCCACTCCACCTTTGTTGTCCTCCCACATTTCCAGGCAAACTCCTCTAATACCCCTGGCACTGAACTCACTGGCTACATTCATAATGCTTCTCTTCATGAAACAGCCTTCTCTCAGTTATCCGGCCCAAACTCTTAAGTGATTGTATTGGTTTTCCCCTTTATCCACAGGGAATGAATTCTAAAATGCCCCGTGGGTGCCCCAAAGCATGAATAGCACAAAACCCTATATTTTCCTATATATACACACCTATGAGAAAGTTAAAACTAAAAATTAGGTACAGTAAAAACTAATAATAAAGTAGAATGGTTGTAACAATATATTATAATAAAAGAATGAAAAATTTACAAGTTACTCATTCCCAGATTTTTCCATGTAGTATTTCCAGACTGCAGATGACCGTGGGTGAGTCTGCAGAAAGTACAGTGCAGAAAAAGCAGCCACTTAGCTGTGTCTGACAGCTGTTTCCTTCTCTTTGCCGTTGCCCGTCAACAACCACTGCTGGCTCTTATGTGGAGATGGCATGTGTGCTGGATAGCTTTAGTGTCAACTTGACACACCCGGGTTAAGGGAGCCTCAACTGGGGAATTGCCTTCATTGGACTGGCCTGTGGCCATGTCTGTGGGGCCTTCTTGATTGTTGAGTGATGTGGGAGGACCCAGCCCACTGTGGGTGGTACCACCCCTGGGCAGGCGGGCCTGTCTTGTATAAGAAAGCAGGCTGAGCAGGGGTCAGGGAAGCAAGTCAGTAAGCAGTGATCCTCCATGGCCTACGCTCCAGCTCCTGCCTCCAGGTTCCTGCCCTGAGTTCCTACCTTGGGCTCCCTGATGAACTGTGATCTGGGAGATGTAAGACAAATAAACCCTTTCCTCCCCAAGTTGGTAGTGGTCAGAGTGTTTTGTCACAGCAGTGGAGAAGAGATAAACTAAGACAGCATGGTTTCGGAAGTTGTAAGCCACTCTTCTTGTGTGCTCTGTGCTTCCTCTCCTTGTCACAGCAGCCCGATGGACACGTTGGCCCAAGCATGTTAGCATAATCCCCTCACACATATACCGAAGAGCTCTAGACACCTGTCTGATATATCGTCCACAGAGAAGGGCGTTAACCATCTTAGCAGTTCAAAAACTCCATCCTAGACCAGAAACATTTTATTCTGAATGAACCTGGAGGTCTGAGTTGCCATGGAGCAGAAAGGAGCAAGAATCCCCCTGCCAGCTGTCTCTCAGTCTGTGGGGTGTCACGGGATACAGGCGCTAAGGAGGCTCAGCAGAAGCCCAGAGGCCTCATATCTCACCTCCCTGGGACTGGGGCTTCTTTCTGAGCTCTGACTGACCTGCTTATGTCTTGTCTTCCAAACACCCCAGTCCTCATTCCTTGCACAGTTCAGTTTGCTTCATAAGGTGCAGGTGCTCATTTGCACCAAAGTGGTAGTGATTCCAAAATAATGCTAAGAATGGAAACTGGAGGCTGCCTTGCAGGCAGTTACCACATCCCCTTCTCAGAACAAAGAGAGTTTCTCTGGCACCTCCCATTGTGTATCCATGTATGGGTACGTACACACACACACTATAGACCTCATCAAACTTACTAGACCTCCACATCTGACCAGGTGTCAGACAAATTCTTCAAGATTTACTTTAAGTGTAAAAGAACCTGGCATCTAGAGTCCAAGCTTTGGGGACCCAACACACTAAAGCAGTGCAGAGCCACCAGGTACCAGGCATTGAGAACAGCACGGGTGGACTCTCGAGTTGCTAGTGTCTGAAATAGGTGATGGCTAGAAGATGGTCAGGTGCAACATCTGAACATAGTGTTGGTCAGATGCCTGTGCTGGTCTTGGAAGGAAGAAGAGGTAGACTTTCCACCTCTGTTTTGCTCTTGTTCCTTTGGTTGCTGGCTGCCGATTAACCATACATCCTATTGGTAGGGCCTCTTCCGTGTAGCTCCCTCAGCCTCCAAACTCAAGAAGCTGAAGGCTGCACTGGACTGCTGTGTGGTGGACGTGCAGGAGTACTCAGCAGATCCCCATGCTATTGCAGGTGGGTGCTCACCACCTCTGAGCCAGGCTCACAGGGAGGGGTGAATGTGGACATTATGTGGCTTCATGTCAGGAGCAGCAACTTCCTCAAATGCTTCTGTTGTCCACGTGGTACCCAATTTCAGGCCTGATTGTTCTTATCCTTGAAGAAAGGCCTCCCTAAGGGTCCAGTGGAAGGTGGGAGCAGTATGGAAAATAAGGGGTAGGGCTATGTGAGTGTCAGCCTAGGTCTCCCTGCCAGGCCCCACAACTACTCATGGGAAACCACTGTTTGATCTTGTCATGTTGGTCAAGGAGTCATGTCCATGTGGAGTGACGTGGGCTGGTAGACCATGTCCCCACTGTGTTAGAATACATACCTATGTCAATACTGTATTTATGTTCAGGGGCTTTGAAGTCTTACCTCCGAGAGTTGCCAGAACCTCTCATGACCTTTGAACTCTATGATGAATGGATCCAGGCTTCCAAGTGAGTACCTTCTGTTGGAGTGTATTGTGGGTTGGGATTTATTAAGAACTATAGTTATCCCTCAGAGTCTGTGGACCATTGGTTCCAGAACTAATGCTCGGCTCCCTTGTATAAAATGGCATAGTGTTTTCAGATAACATAGCCATAGCTTCACGTACGCTATCTTTAGACTACTTATGATCCTTAATATTATGTGAAGAGTTGCTATATTAGATATTTTGGAGATTAACAACAAGGAAAAAGGACTGTTATATATTCAGTACCGACATAACCATCATAGGCCTGACTACGTAGAACCCGTCCATAGTTGGTCAAATCATGGGTGCAGAACCTACAGATAAAAAAGAGCTGTGTTCACAGAAGTGTGAAAGCTTGTGGTCTGGGATCAAACAACTGCCTTTCTTGCTGTCCATCTTGAAGGACTGTTGATACATGTTTCCAGAGAGGCATTTACAAGGGTTTTGAAGGCAGCAATATTTGTAATAGAAGACCGGAAGTTCCTAAAAGCTCATTTGAGGAAAAGGGTAGGGGCATTGTGGCATGCTCTAAGGCAATTAAAAAGTAGGTAGAGCCATCCTGGGTAATGGGAAAGAAACAGGTCTACTGTGGAGTGAAATAAAGCAAATTAATGACGATACATAGAATTTTTTTTAAAGAAAGCTAAATACCCAAGAGTCAAGATGATAGAGTTTTAGGAGTAGTCCTATCTGTACATTAAAGAAGGTTCTAGAAAGGTTCATTTAGTCAGTGGCAGTGATTTCTTCTGAGGGAAAGAACAACACAAGCATATCATATAATCTTTACCCTTATCTATAACAGGAGTATTTTAGCAAAAACTAATTAATAACATGAAGACATAACGTGTACAATGGACATATTTCATTCTCCCAAGGATGAGGCCAGGGAGCAGGCCTCAGGCAGCAGGAACTCGGCCCAGGCCCACACTGGAGAGTTGCCATAATGGAGCTGGTGCATCCACAATTTGTTATGGTGTTATTAATAAGTTGTACCAGCCTGTGGCTCCTCAGTGTGGCTTGCCGTTGTGAGTCAAGGTGTTATGTTTCCTTATTGGCCATAGGTAAAGAACTGTTTTTTGGGTTTTTTTTTTTTGGTCTTTTTTGAGACAGGGTCTCCCTGTAGCCCCAGCTGTCCTGGAACTCACTATGTAGACCTTGAACTTACAGATCCGCCTGCCTCTGCCTCCAGAGTGCTGGGATTAAAGGCGTGTGCTCCCTGCAGGTTAAGAACTGTTTTAAGAAAATAAAAATAAAAGCCAGGAGTGGCAGCACACACCTTTAATCCCAGCACTGGCAAGGCAGAGGCAGACCTGATCTACATACCAAATCCTAGGCCATCTGGGGCTACAGGGAGACCCTGTCTCAAAAAGACCAAGAAAAGAAAGAAGGAAGTAAGGGAAGGAGGAAGGGAAGGAGGGAAGGAGGGAGGGAAAGAAAGACTACAAATGACCATGTGTAGTTAGAAGAAGACAGCACAGGGCCAGAGGAGTTGGGACCAGAGCCAGGATAGTGGGGACCAAGGTAGATAATGCAAGTGGAAAAGAGAGGGAGGAGAATGTTTTCTATGGGCACATCTAGAACAAGGGTGTCTACAGATGGAAATAATTTCTAGTGGACTTGGTCATCCAGGGCTTAGCTGGTCAGAAAGAACACCAGAGCTTGTATTTTGTGCTCATGCATATTTTAAAATGAATCTTTATTCATTTAAATTGACACATGATAATCTATAGGCATATAGGATGTAATATATTTCAGTACACACTACGTAGTGATCGAATCTGAGCCATTAACATATCCATCACTCAAATGTTCATTGCTGATCCATCTACTTGAACAATTGGGGGCTGAAAGAGACCTAGCTCACCTCAACATGAACACAGGCTTACACGTACTATGAAGAGACAGCTACCTCAAATTGCCTAGTGATGGGTTGTTTTGTTTTGTTTGCTTGCTTTTCTAGAGTAGAGCATTACTATGGTGAGTATACGACCTGTATGTTCTATCATGAAGAGAGGGTCTCCAATTCCAGGGATGCTATTAATAAATGCTACCATCTGTTGAGTGCTTATTAGAGACTTGGCATTGCTCTAAGGTCATAATCCGTTTTAACTCATTTAATTTTCATAACAACTCTCTGAAGTGGGTTGGACTATATCCCACTTTGCTAATGAGGAATCTGAGGTGTGGAGCAGGGCTAGGGCAACACATTACTTGCCAGTTAACACATGAGAGTGAGAATTTGAATCCACAGAGCCCAGTCTGGAGTCCATGCACACAGCTACTGCACTTCATGCCTTTGTGGAACACCACCAGGATCCTGGGGGAATAAGAACATATCCTTTAACAGAAATGGCTGGCCACTGTCTATTTATTGGATATCCAAGTGCTCTTGATGAGAAGCTAGAGAAAAGGGGACAGCTGAGTGTGGCACTGAGTTTGCTGAGAGACACACTGATCATACCCCATTTCCAAAACTGGGTGTCCATCAGAAAGTCAGAATAGGCCAGATGACTCCAAGACAGTGTCTTTGAACCATGGAAACACAAAGAGTTATTTATGCCACTGGGTAATGAACATTTATAATGCTGAAGATTTATGGGGAAGGGTGGTGTTGCCTTGTCAACTCTCTCCAGAAGAGTTGTTCCTAACTTTCTATGTCCATCAGAGCCTCAGAGATTTTTAGAAGGTACCAGGATCTAGGCCTGTTTCTCAGAGGGCTGGACTAAGTTTCTTGGGATTCTATGTTTCAAAGCTTCCTAGACCGCTGCATGGCCCTGTGGTGGGGCTGGGTTTCACACTGGGCAGCACTCACCCGACCTCAGAACACTGTGTTTCAGGCAGACTCAGCAGGACATGGACAGCTGTGCAGCGGCTGGGCTATCCGGGAGATGGGGTGGCCAGGAAGGAGATGAGGGATACAATCAGTGCTGTTCTTAGCCTTGGCCAGAGAAGCTTCTTTCTTCAGTGGGTAGCAGGGACTAATAACTGGTCCGAGGATGGAGAATAAGTGACTGTTGAATGCTCTTCCCTAAATGGGACATTTATATCAAACATTTTTCTCCCAAGTCTCAGGAAACATCACAGAAGAGGGGATGGAAAGAATGGAAAGAATGTAAGAGCCTGGGGAGGGGTGCTGTGAAATGGCTCATCTCAAACTCACTGCAGTTAGGGCTACCTGTGCAAGGCTTGCACAAGGTCAAGCTGACAAGATCAGGCAACATTCTGTCAGGCAGCACTAATTGTGCTCAGTGGGTTACAAGAGAGTGAAAAAGAAAACATGAAGGTGGGAGGGGCCATTTTAGAAAGTATCTGGGGAAGGAGGGGGCTGGAGGAGTTGGGGGTGGTATGATCAAGATACATTTTATACATGTGTCAGAGAATTAAAGTATAAGTAAAATTTATTTTAAAAGAGCTCAGAGCTCACCAGGAGAACTTCTGAGACTGAGGATGCATCTTTACAAGCTTGGTAAACTAAGCACCTCTGTGCTAGAGTGTACAGAATGGAGGCAGAGGAGGACACAGTGGGAACAAGCTCCTGATGCTGGAAAACCATCCCTAGTCAGAAGTTCTGGCTGATTCTTCTGATGGGCATGTTCTCCAAGACCTCTGCCTGGTAGACACCTGCCTCACCTTAAATGTCAGTTCCTCAGAGAAGCCTTCCCTGACAGCCCTACTCCCTTTACCCTGTCGCTTCTGCACCAGGCAGACTGCAGATGCTTGGGGTTGTGGGTGTAGCTGATTGGGCTGGGAACTCCTCAGAGTGCTCTGCTTTGTAGCCCATAGGGCAGTTCCTGGCACAAAGGGAACTTCTGTTAATCCATGTCTGTTGATTTTCATTGAATGAAAGATCAGGTTTCATCTTCCCGTTGTCAAAAGACAAATTCAGTTTAAAAATCTAATTGGTGGGGCTGGAGAGATGGCCCCACTGGCTGCCCTTGCAGAGGACTTGGGTTTGATTCCCAGCACCTACATGGTGAATAACAACTGTCCGTAACTCCAGTTCCAGGGGAATCCAACTCCCTCTTCTGACCTCTACAGGCACTGCACGACATGTGGGCAATACACTCATACACATAAAATAATAAATAAAATATTTAAAAATCTAATTGGCTTTCATTTTCTATTTTAGCATTAAGTAATACTTGAGTCCATGAAATTTTTCTGTTGAACTAAACAGGAGGAGTTGGCATTACAGGCAGAGAAAAACCCCCCAAAACTGAAGAGACAGAAACAAAAGGTGGCCTGATGATTTCAAGGGGACCCTCCTTAGATGGTGAGGAAGAACTGACTATCCTTCCAGCTCAGGAACACTGGGCTTCTTAGGACTGGTAACTGTGATTTTACATAGGTTTTTGGAAAACTAGTGCGCTCTTTCAGAGTTTACTTTAATTATGTGATTTTAAGCACAGTGGCTCCATATCAGTTTGGTCTAGCCAACTGGGCTTAGTGCCAGAGGTTAGTATGCTGTGGCTTCCCACAGACTGTATGGTCACCTTAAGGAAAGCTGAAGAACAGAAGAGGAAGTGGGGCTTGGTGCTGTAGGAGATGCTTGAGCACATGAGGGGGGGCAGCTGTAGCAGTTGCTGAAGATGCCAGCATTTCACATTGATTGAGAACTTTGCATAAACCAGCAACAAGACAAGGCGCTCAGGTCAGATTCTCCTTTAAGACTGTACACCAGCTTTGCAACACAAATGTTGCTCACAGAGGTCAATGAGTTGACAGAAGATCATGGAAAGAAGCAGATCTTCACAGTCTCCCTATGCAAGACCCACCTTGACCATGCTTTCACATGAATACATTCTGTTCTTTTCTGCGAATAATGAAGCATTTGGCCGAAGTTCCAGGTGGAGAATGCCTGCCTCTTTCTCAAGGCAGAGAGGATGGGGAAGAGAGTTTTTCTCACCACCTCAGGGTACTCAACAATGATGTGTGCAGGTGATGACAACTATGTAGTGTGGGCCCCAAGTGATCATCTCAGAGCTGGGTCTTACCCTGCTAGAGTTTACTGTTCAGATTTTCTGAAGAAAAGATTCTTCTATCATCAGACTGGACATAGATTTATATAAAAATCTAGCCCTATATTTTTTAATTCTAAGAGACATAAATAAACTCAGTAAAATTTTCATATAATGGAAAAAATCTTTCAACGAGTGGAAATTATCCATTCCCTAACCTAAGTTTAGAAAGCTTAGATTTACTTATCCAGAAGTTATTTATTGAACATTTAGTATATTCCAGTGTCAATTTAACATGCAGTAAGCCATATTCATTGAACTGATTGGTCCACAGGGTGCCACTGTGGTATGTAGTGGGGTGGAGCTCCCCCAGCTGGTGTCCCATGTCCGAAGACCCTGCAGCCTGCTCCACAGCAGTCTCTAGCCTCTTGCCCTGGTTGTTAGCCTGAGACCTGTGATCTGTGTGGAAGGAGTTTTGTTAAAATAGCATAGAGCAATGCTGAAGGAGGAGAACATAGAAGGGAAGTAATAATAACCAAGCATTTTCATGCTTTTCCTGTCCATTTCCCAGTATTCAGGAACAAGACAAGAGACTTCAGGCTCTGTGGAATGCTTGTGAGAAGCTGCCTAAGGCCAACCATAACAACATCCGGTAAGCAGGTAGTGGAAATAGTGGACCGGGCTTAGTTAAGCCCATTTGCCCAGTTCCCTGGGTATGGAAACTAGCATACATAGTACTTTGTGGGATCTGTGGTACTATTTGTATATGTGGTCCATTTTAAGCCTCAAACAACTGGTGAGATAAGATGGGCATAGATGCTGCACTTTGCTGCCAAGGAAAGGACTTGTGCGATGTGTCAGGCTGCTCAACAGCCATTGACTACTTCGATGAAGTTCTTTATTTTGGGAAAGACAAGGAATACTGCAAAGCCATCTTACAGTGTTTGAGATTTACAGTCCTGGGAGAAGCCAGCCAGTGCTGGAGCCAGACAAGGCAGTTGTGACCTTGAGCTAGTCACAGGCAGGGTAGCAAGAGAGAGGGTTCTCCATGCTCCCATTCATGAGACGTGATTGTTTCCAATTATCTGTCACTCTTTCGGAGCCACCTGGCTTCTCTGTGCCCCTCCTGCAGACCATTCCCCAGCCCTTGGCTTCTCTGTCCTCTGGCTCTGCTTCCTCATCACCTTGCCCTACCCCTTTTCCTCCCAGCCAGCCTCCTCTCCTCCCTCTTCTTAGGAGGCAGATTTTCTGCTTCTGCTTCTGCTTCCATTGGCCTGATTGTTTTTCTATTAAAAGAGTATTAGTACACCAGTTCCATAATAACATTAAATGCAGAATTACTATATGATCTGGTGGCTCCACTTCTGAGCGTTTCCCAGAATTGAAAGCAAGGACTTGATGTTCATACATCTACATTCATAGCAGTGTGATTCACAATAGCCAAAGTGGAAACAGCCAAAGTGTCCCCAGACAGATAAATGAATAAACCAGATGATGTAGTGTGTAGGTACAGTGGAATGTGGAATTCTGGTACTTAATGCTACGTGGATGAACCTTGAGGATGATGATAGTGAAAGAAACCTGATAAAAGGCAGATGTTTGGTTGTGTTTATACGAGGTGCTGAGAGTAGTCAGTGTGATAGAGATTGGAAGTGCAGTGGCAGTTGCCTGGGCTTGGCAGAGTGAAGATGCAAAGGTTGTTGTTTAATGGGTACACCTTCAGTTTGGGAACATCAGATAATCCTGAAGGTAGTTGATGGTGATAGCTGTGTATCAACATGAATATACGTCATGCCATTTTGCTTAAAATGCATTAAAATGGTAAACTGGAAGTATGTTTTACTAAATTTTTATTTTAAAATATCCTGAGAACAAAAATCAAATCTGTACAACTTACCACAAGTTGGTAACCTCAGTCCTCAGCCACTGGCCAACATCTGGGTCAACTACTCCCAGCTATCCCACATCCTGGTCCAGTCCTGGGTGGTCGCTCAGAGATTGGGACCTAGTTGAGAAGGCTGTGGGTAGAGCTGGTACAGGGACAGGACAATGACTACTTGGTTAAATTCTAAGTCTAGGGCTGGAGAAATGGCTCAGCGGCTAAGAGCTCTGACTGTTCTTGCAGAAGACCTGGGTTCAAATCCCAGCACCCACATGGCAGCTAACAACTATCCGAAACTCCACTTCCAGGGGATCTGACAGCCTCTTCTGTCCTGTGCTGGCATTGCACGACATGGGTGCACTTACCTATATGCAGGCAATGCACACATACACATAAAATAAAAATAATAAAATATTTAAAAAAAACATTCCAAGTCTAGTGTACTTTCTACTGGGTCAACAGAAGATGAGTAAAAATCTTCCAAAGAACTTGCTTCATTGTCACCCAAGGAGAATGGGGTTAGGACCACAGCCTTTGTAGCTAAGAGTCCAGAAGAAAACATGTGCCCCTGAAGTCTCGGCTTCTTGTGAGGATGGGATTATTTTCAGTGTGCTGTTCCCAAACTATTTTTGAGTGCTTATTTTGTACATGGCTTCTTCATTCTCTCTCTCTTTCTCTCTCTCTCTCTCTCTCTCTCTCTCTCTCTGTCTCTCTCTCTCTCTCAAATGTTTTTTATTTATTTATTTTATGAGTGCTTTGCTTTCATGAATGTTAAGTGCACCCATGTCATGCAATGCCTGTGGAGGCCAGAAGAGGGCATAGGATCCCCCGGAACTGGAGTTTCGGACAGTTGTTAGATGGTATGTGGGTGCTGGGAACGGAACCTGAGTCCTTGAAGAACAGTGGGTGCTCTTAACCACTGAGCCATCTCTCCAGCCCCTCATCTCTTTTTTTAAAAAACAATTTTTTTTGAGATGTAATTCATAAACCATTGGGCCTTTTTAGAAGAATGCCATTTAGAATGAATTCTATACTTAGAGTTTGGCTTGTTGAGATTGTCTAATTTAGAGCGTTTTTATCAGTCTGAAAAGAAGCCTAGTTCCTGTTCTGGTTTGTCTCTCTGTTGTGTACTGAAACCCTTGACCCAAACCAAGTTGGAGAAGAAAGGGGTTATTTGGCTTACAGCTCACAGCCCATCATCAAGGGAAGCCAAGGCAGGAACTCAAGGCAGGGACCTGGAGGCAGAACTGAAGCAGAGACCACTGAGGAACCTGCTTATCGCCCTGCTCCTCCTGTCTTGCTCAGCTGCTTTTCTTCCTGCCCAGGCCCACCTGCCTAGAGATGGCATCACCCACAGTGGACTGGGTCCTCCAAAATCAGCCAGTCAGCAATTAAGAAAACTGGCCCATAGGCCAATCTGATGGAGGAATTCCTCAATTGAGGCTCCTTCTTCCCCGGTGACTCTAGTTTGTGTGATGAAGTCAAGAAGTTGACAAAGACCAGCATATTCCCATTTGCAGTGATTCTTCATACCCCACCCCCTGCTGCCCAACCTCCCAGTAACCTCAAATCTACTGACTCTGTAGACTTGTTTGTTCTGGATATTTCATGTAATGAAGTACAGCTCTACTATGTGGCCTTTGTGTCTGTCTCCTTTCACTTAACCATCATGTTTTCAGGATTCACTCACATGACAGGATGTGTCAGTTCTTCATTCGCTTTTATGGCTGCATAACATTCTGCATCCATGCATTCACTCCTTGAAGGACATTTGAGTAGCCTTAGCTCTTTGGCTTCTATGAATAATGCTATTCTGGATATCCATGTACCAGCTCATGCATGGGCATATTTCTCTTGGGTTTATTCTTAGCGATGGAATTGCTGGGCCATGTCCTATGTGTTTAACATTTTCTGGATCTTTCCAGAAAGACTGAGGGCAATTCCAGAGCATACCACACCTAGCCTGTAGTGTCCCCAGACACTTTGATTAGCCTTTTATGCAGACAAAGGAGGAGGTAATGGGATTTGATGAGAGAGAGACAGTTGGTCATCCTGTAAGGCACAAGCAAAGAGGAACCCTTTTCACTGTTCACTGGAGTTGATGTGAGCATCTAATTGAGTGAGGGCTGGGTCTGTCTGCTTTGGGGAAGAGAGTCCAGAATTCTCATGTCAGGAATGTACTTCATGAGAGAAGTTTCTGCCTAGTCCTGGAGGGAGGCGACTCGTGCTAAGCCTGAGTTAAACTTGGCGCTTCTCACTTCCTTCAGATACTTGATCAAATTTTTATCCAAGCTGTCTGAATATCAAGATATAAACAAGATGACTCCTAGCAACATGGCAATTGTCCTGGGACCCAACCTCCTGTGGCCACAAGCGGAGGGGTGAGTAGGGAAGAGGCCCCATGGGTACCACATGTGGACTACAGGGCAGGAGGCCTAGGCCCTGGATCATCCTCAATACTTAGTTCTGCCATGGCTCCCTCCTTTTGTAGGTCCAGAGAAAGAACAGAATCCTGAATCTCCTTATTGTTGATAGTCAGAGCCACAGGTCTGAGTAAATCAGTGTTGAGAATGACAGAGAGGAAGACAGGGACATGATGGCACTGGGCAAGGCCAGCTCTGTTGGGCCCTCTTAGAGTCTTTCCTAAGAGGATAGCTCCTGGCACCCAAATTCGAAAGGTTGGAGGGCTGTCTGCAAGAACTAGAAGAACTGAAAAGAGGATGAACTGACTCTCGCTGAGAATACCTTCGTGGATATTGTGTGTTTAGCACGGGCCAATCCCTTCTCAAAGCTGCGGGCATCTTTCTTAAGAGAAAGCAGCTCATAAATTTGGTTCTGCAGGATTCTGGCCTGATGTCCCTCCTCAGATTTGGTGCCCAGAGCACCATGGAGCTCTCACCCTGCTTCTGCTGGTAACCCCTTGTTCCCACTCTGTTTGTAGGAATATGACCGAAATGATGACCACAGTTTCGCTGCAGATTGTCGGCATCATCGAACCCATCATCCAGCATGCAGACTGGTTCTTCCCTGGGGGTACGTGTCAGCATCCATCTGTGCCAGCAGAGGGGCAGAGGTGGGAACAGAAGAGCACTGTGAGTTTGGAGCATGTGAAGCCAGGGATGCTGCACCCAGGTTTTGGTTGGCTTTGTTTGTAGTCGTCCTGCACATACCCGCAACTGTACCCAAGCACTGGGGTAGAGTCCTGACTGCTCCCCCTCTCCTGTCCCTGTGTAACTGACGTGCTGGCATCCAGGTGTCCATAGCCTCTGCCATGGATTCTATTGACCTGTCATTCACTCCATAGTTTCTTCAAGTCTATGACTCATGTAAAGCTGGTACAGAAAAATGACTTCGTCATTTCTAAACACTTCAATTTCTAAATGCAGAGGGAAGTTGACCCTGAGGTAGATGAGGACTTCACAGCAGAGTTCAAACCACCTGGGTGCTGTCTTTTCATTGCCTTAAGTGGTACCCTTTGAGTTTCTCCTCAGTATGTAAAAGTGGGGCTAAAAAGCAATAAGAGGCTTTTTTTGTGCTTGGTTCAAAATTGGGCTCTTGAGGCAGCTTCCTGCAAGGGAGTTCCCAAGCTGTTATGAGGCATGGAAGCCTATGTGTTTCTCCATGGAGACAGTTTTAAGGAGCTAGCAGTTACATTAAATTGAATGTTTGCTAAAATCAAACAAAGTTGATTCTGTACAGCATTAAGTGTGAGCTTTTAGCCTTCAGTAGCCACTAACTCATGTGAAGACAGAATGTTACTAATTCTGTGACTCTCATGTCACAGCTCACCAATTATACTGACCTACCTGGTTACTTTTCCATCACCGTGTGTGTTCTGCCTGTGACAGCACTCACAGCAGACCTTTCAAGGATTCTGCTTATAGCACCAAACTAATAGGGTAGTAAGTCAAGATGAAACGGTCTAGGAGATGGGAGTTGAAGACAGTGACTCCATAGGTTCGGTGAGAGAGCTAATTCATTACCATTGCAGACAAAGAGACAGTATTGTACAGAACTGTCTGTCCCTTTGACTAAGAAAGAGTGTACCATTGAGCAAACAAGTGCCTCAATGAAATCTCTCACTCTTTGTAACCATTTCAGTGTATTCTCTTTGGGTATATAGTAAACAATATTGTTATTCACAAAATATTAATATTGACTCTTGTTTTCTTGGCCAATTCCATCGGCTAGTTCTTTTTTTTTTTTTTTTTTCGTCTTTTTGAAATAGGGTCTTCCTGCAGCCCCAGCTGGCCTGGAACTCACTATGTAGACCAGGCTGGCCTCGATCTCACCAAGATCCACCTGCCTCTGCCTCCCAAGTTCTGGGATTAAAGGTGTGCTCCACCATGCCCAGCTGGCTAGTGCTTCTTAAGTAATGCCATTAACGTGGCCTTAGTGGCCACTGACACTTTTCTTACTTTAATTTAGACTGCTCAGGTGTTTTACTCTATAGCACTAGAATTGAGGAAGATGATAATATTTTTCAGAAAGTACCTATCCCAATTTTACTGCCTTATTTCTTTTAATTACGAATGGACTTATTAAATGGCCAATCTGGGTGAACACATGTCTTCTGTCTTTGACTATGATGAATTCATATCAGTAGATTAGCTGATATAGAACTGTGAGCATTTTTTAGAGGTGGAGTGTGAGATGTGCAGTACCAAGAGATCACACACACCGATTCTTTCTTCCCTGCAGAGATAGAGTTCAACATCACAGGCAGTTATGGGAGTCCGGTCCACGTGAACCACAATGCCAACTACAGCTCAATGCCTTCCCCAGACATGGACCCCGCTGACCGGCGCCAGCCAGAGCAGGCCCGCCGGCCCCTCAGTGTCGCCACAGATAATATGATGCTGGAGTTTTACAAAAAGGATGGGTATGAGCTAGCGCCCCTTTTTCAACACTGGGAAAATTGACGTTGGGGAGGGAGGTACTTAAGAAAACCAGGATTGACAGGAAAGCGCTACTCACTGTGCCAGCTGAGCTGACTTGTGCCAGCCAAGCTGTGGCCTCGTTCTTGATGTTTTTCTCATCTGTGCTATCTGGGAGGGGTCTCTGTGGCTTGCTGGCCTTTGGGCCACAGGTGCATGGCCTTCTTAGCAGACATGATTGCAGTAGTATAAATAGTTCTCATCAAACAAATAAATGTGGGTCAATGAAGAGAATTAAAAAAAAAAATTCTTAAG